CCACATCAATTATCAAGAGCTCAATGGAATCTTTGTGCATCACTCCCACGCTTTTGCTCGTCTTTCTGGTGGTTTCGACGATCTCCATCTTCTCTTTGGCAGAAGCGCAAGATGTCGATCGAGGAAGATTTCATGTGATCCAACCTAGCCAGTATGCTCATTTGCTCAAAGGAGATTATCCATGGGCGATAAAAAATGTGCCGTTCATTGACTTTCCCGAGAATGATGATATCCTTAACACATACTATTATCGTTGGAGGATGTATCGAAAACGTAAGCAGAAGTCTTTTGGATTCAGCAATACCCCGCCTGAAACCTACGTTTGTGGGAAAATGTGAAGATCTCACATTATAAACTCATCATCAACAGACATTGAATACATTGACGAAGAAGACATTTATGTCGTCACAGAGTTTCTTCCACAAGTGAGCTGGAGTGGACTCTACAACACTATTCCAGCAGCAGCTGGTCATCATATCATGGAGGGGCGCTGGATTCATAACGAACGCATCTTGAATGATTACATTCAGTTTTGGTTTACAAAGGCAATCCCTGTGGCGTACACAAACTGGATTGGCCATGCTGCGTGGCAACGGTATCTTCTCAATAGAAATGCAACTTTTGTGAAATCAATCCAGGATGGGCTCGACCATACTTTTCAAGAATACTACATATCCAAGTATCTGAAAGAGATTACCAGCAACAACAACACCGTCAACCAATGTTGGTGGCAAGATGATGGTCGAGATGCCATGGAAGTATCCATATCGGGCTCTGGTTGTCGACCTACCATTGCAGCTGCTATGTATGGTGAAGCAGAAACGATTGTCAAACTAGCCAGAATGGAACCTTTGAACAGGACTCTGGAGCTAGACTACATGAAATGGCAGGAGCTATCAAGATCCATCATCTTGGATCATCATTGGAATCAAAAGCTTCAATCCTTTGCTGTGATCCCAACCGTTCCTGAAATGAAGGGTTCAGAGAAGCATGAAGTACCTGACGGTGTAGCATCCGACTGTGACTTATCAAACGTCCGACAGCTGAATAAAACGGTTGATGTGCGCGAACTCTTGGCGTTCATGCCATGGTACTTTGACACATTGATTCCCGAGGAGCAAGTCTCTAAGTTTCTTCCAATGTGGAAAGAGCTCTTTGATCCCGACGGATTTGACGCGTTGTATGGACTCCGATCGGCCGAGCTGCGACATCCATGCTACAATTACTCTTATGACCACGGAGATTGTTGGAATGGCCCATCATGGCCATATGAAACGTCACGTGTGCTAACTGGATTTGCTAATCTACTTAATCGAGATATCATACGAGACAAGACAACACACAAGTTTCCAAGTGTATCTCCAGAAAAGTATTGGCATCTCCTGAAGCAATATGCTCGGCAACATACAAGGACATACGCCGTGAATGATACTGCAAATCCAATTGGGAGTGGCCACGTCTTCGAGAATCTTCATCCAGATCTAGGTTATTGGAACAATCGACAGCGAATGTATGAATCAAATGACGATAATAAGAACATGGGCGACGACTACAACCATTCGACGTTCGTCGACTTGATTCTGTCGGGACTGTTTGGGATTCGACCGCAAGAAGATGGTTCCATGGAAGTATCGCCACTGCTCCCATCTGCTGTCTCTGCCTTTGCAGTTGATAATGTGCTTTGGCAAGGAAAATTCATTCTCAGCGTGATATGGGACAAAACTGGAACGGCATACGATCGTGGCCAAGGACTTTCTGTTCTATTGGACGGCAAGACCGTTGCGCATAGTCGGACGATGAAGCGAATCGTACTTTATCCGGAGGATTTGAAGCAAGGTCAAGGAGAAGGCCAGTCGTCAATGTCATGATGCAGCTTTTTTCCGTTGTGCAAGCGAATGGTTGGTCTGACTAAGAGTATACCTTTTGTCTAACGGATACTGGTGCATGAGGGTAGATTCAATGGTAGCAAATTGATTCATTACCCAACCTGCCAGTCGACATGACGAGCGCCAACGGAGCGAAAGAGATGCAGCATATTGATGCCTAGAAACGCTTGTCTACCTTCATCAAGCGCGATTGGAAGAGGCTTCTGTGTAACGAATGGCGGGAGTGCGTTGGCTCCTCATGATCAAATCGCGCATCAAAACGAACATGGCCGATGGAACCAAGTTTTGCCGGTTGGTACCTGGTACTGGTAAGTTCTTGGGATACTATCGCCGCGTTCTTCAAGGATTACAAGGTCTGGCCCTGTATTCGATCCAAAGATGTCAGATTTTTTTCCAAAACGAACAACCTAGTATCCCACCAAGATTCCATAATAAAAGTCGCCAAGGAGTGACAATCGCACCATTCATTTTCACAAGTACGATAACTAGCAAACAATCTTCAGACTATGTGAACATAATTGAGTTTCAAAAGGCTGAGCCATTACCTACAGCACAGTAATTTCTTTTCGAAAGAAAATACCCGTTTTATTGCACTGAAATGTCTGTAATTTTGTCCGCACATTCGGATGAGTCGATAATAGATTGAAAAAGTCCCCGCTCTACCCCCTACCAGGTACCTGCCCTCGCTCGTACTCATATCACTGCGCATTGCCGAAGTTCAAGCCCCATGCATATATCAATAAACCCGATGCATGTTGCGCTTTGATGGAGGCAAGGTAAATCTCCCGATCAATAATGCATGCGTCATGTTTTATGTGACCTTGTTGCTCCAAAGTTTTAGCCGTAACACGACATTTCATTGCTTCGCTTTTTGAATAGAATCCTCTAGCGTCCACTCAGCTGTCCATCCTGATTCCTGATAGATACTGTAGCATTGCATATCCCAAGTCTTCTGCTCGATTTTTTATCATGCACAGTGGCTCGGCGCATTTTGGCTTCGCTCCGAAGACGTCACCCATCTTTGGTGCTGGAAAGTTGCAGGTGGAACCAAGGTGGAACAACGCGCTTCCGTACCAAAAAGACTTTCGAACTTCCAGGAAAATGCATCGGTCCCGCCAGCTCATAAGTGTCAGAACACCGGACACTTCTCATTCGTCGAGATGAATGGACGCTATATTTCTGAACGCGTCTTGCGCGGAATGTCGCACGATAACCCGCTTCCAAGGAACCTTTGGGAAGTGACTTTTGCCACCTCTTCGTACGAACAGAATCATCAGCAGCTTGTGTTTTCGTGACAAAGGGAATAAAGGAAAGCCCAACAACACAACAACTGTCTGTGTAACAAGCAGCAAACATGAACGACCCGCAGAGTCAGAAGTGGAACGCACCGCCTCCCTGTCAGGATCAGCGAATGTCGCTAGCTGGTCTAGCCGCGGTAGCCTCAATGGCAGAACCAATGGATGCACAAACAACTCAACCTTCCCCATGTTCTGCTGTTGGTCATCATCATCATCATCATAATCATCATCATCATCATCAGCAGCAGCATCATCATCATCATGAGGCAATGCAAATGCAATACATGCAAGAATCGTCTCCTACTCAGTCTCCTTGTGTGCCACACGCAGCTGCGTCCCCATGTCGTCACGTTCAGTTCAATGAAGCTCGTGTCGTAGGGACAATAATGCCGTGTTCTCACATGTCTCAGGCAGAGAAAGAGGAGATTTGGTACAGCAACTCCAGTCTAGACAAATTCAAGAATCAAGTCCGTTCCATGTGCCGCAAACTTCGAGAGTGTCCTCAAACAGAAGCTGCAGCTTTGGCTACCACTCCCGAAGCACCTCCGGATGTCATGACTGCGGAAGCGGAAGTGGATGGTGCTTCCGATGAAGCCAGTTCTTCCCGTGGTTTGGAGCACCGTGTCTGCCGCAAACGTTTGAGGAACAAGCAGCTCGCTTTGAGGTGTGTCCTCAAGGCGCAAATGAGATCCTCTTGTCCAGATTTCATTGCGAATATTTCCTCCAAATGTACCTTTTGGGCCAAGGAGATTGCTCGCAACGAAGGTTCTAGAGATTTTGAAGCGGCCTATTCTCCCCGAGCCGAACAAGACCTCAACGCCAGTGTGGCCTCTATGGACATTAGCACTGGTGACGGTGGTAGTAGTACTACCGATTCCACAGCAGCATTGAATGCTTCTGGTTCTATGGTGCCACCCAAGGAGAAGAAGAAGTGTGCCATTATGGCTCGCTTTGTCCCCAGCAAGAGATCTTGTAGCTTTGATTCCGACTGCAGCCGGCCCCGCAAAAATTGCAGATTTACTGGAAACAGTTGCAATGGAAGCCTCAAGAGCGTCTTTATGCCTAAGAAGGACTGTGACCCGTGAAACAAAGAGTATATGACAAGTAATCGAGTAGCCTTTCCCAATACAGAAAGAGTATATGTCGGGAACAGGTCTGTCTGTCTGCTGTTTTTTGACATTCGAATGTCAAGCCGAGTTCTGGTCGGCTGAATCGTGCAATGCCAAAACAGAAATGAAAGTTCAGCCCCAGTTGAGGCAAACATGATGTAACAACGGTGGTATTACATCCTACCAAGTTGACCAAGCGCCAAGACGAGACTCTCCCAACCGTGGGGAAGAAAGAGTCCAATAACTTCCTCTAGATCGCATCCGCGCCCTGTCTCAAATTCCGCAAGACTGCCGCAAGACTGAACCAGACCCGCCCAAGTCTATACAAAATTGTTCTTGGAAGAAACGCATGATCCATGTAGAGGATGATTGGTTCGGTGTGTATCACTCGACTTTTGTGGATAGAGTCAGTCCAGTTATGACAATACATTTTATTGGAGAGCAGCAGAAAGTCTTGATTCTGCTAACGCCAAGAAGATCATTGCAACAATGATTTTTGAATTGCGTGAAGTAACTATTATAACATGAATAAAAGTATTGCAAACATTCCCTCTACTGTAGTTTATTTGGCTAATCATGTTGGTTGGTGGACTCGTAGTATTCCATTGTTTCTCAATTTCATGGTCAGCCGCGAGATCAGCTTGCCATTGGATCATTTTGCCACAGCTCTTGTTGTCAATGACACTTTTAGTCTACCAATGAAGAAATCAGACAATACTATGGTATGGTTGTCTACAAAAGGATGCACCGACGAATTAGTATTATTGATAGCGTCCGGCGGTCATTACTTTATTATTGTCATCGTCATAACCGCATATTACAGATTATTATTACTGGTGGAAGGTATCACAAACGATTATATACCTTCCTCCAAGCAAAATGAGAGAGAGAGAGAGAGAGTGTTTACTTGCTGTTTTGCGAGTCCAATGCCCGGCTCAATTCTTCCAATGCCACACAAGCTTCCACGGCAGCATCCACCAAACATTCCTCTTCGGACAACATGCCTCCCATGGCATTGGAATTACCAGCCGAAGCAATTTCTTCGACGACATCCCAGGCCACTTGAGCTTCCGAAGAAGTAATACCGTGCTTTTCGGTAAGTTGCTTGGCATTCTCCATGGCCTCCTTGAGTTGAGGACTGGAAACAGATGGCTTGGAAGCAGGAGCCGACAATTTGACAGCCTTGATTTCGTCGGCCATGTCATTCAAGACGGACATGACAGGTTGTTTTTCCTTTAGTTTGGCAGCGAGTTCCTTCAACTTGGCTTGGTAATCGGCAACGTTTCCTTGGGTTGCGGCACTGTTGAATGTATGAACGAATGAAGAGAGAGAGAGAGAGAGAAAGAAAGAAAGGGATAGAAATGGGTCAGTCATTTGAATAATGGAATTTGCAATACTCATGACAGGTAGGCAGGTAGGTGTAGGTAGATAGGCAGGACTATTTCTCTTTTCCACTCGCAATATATACATTCAAAACTCACCTGTTATCACTGGAATCCACTTCTTCGACAGCTTCCCAAGCCAAACGAGCCTCGGGAGAAGCAGCTCCAAACTTTTTGGAAGCCGCCAAGGCTTCCTTGACGAGCTCTGACGAGTCGACGCGAGACATCTGCAGTTGCGTCGACGTTGTTGTTGCTCTCATGGAAGCGGAAGGAGAAAAGGCTTGGGTGGAGGCAATGGCCAACAATGCGAGGGTCGTAGAGAACTTCATGATGATGATGATGATGATGATAAGAATTGGTACTGTAGATCGGCAGAAGTAGAAAAATATAATGAGAATCCTATTTTCGATGGGTGTGTTGATGGGGTGGCGAAGCAACAAGATTTTGTTGGGACAGGTGGAAGCATTCCGAGGAACACGTACTTGTACCTGGCGGGCGCGCAAGTATATACATGTATCTTCAGAACCGTAGATGAGTATTTCAAATGAAAAGACATTCCACCAGCTTGCAAGGAAAATGTGATTGGGCACCATGTACAACTTGTAAGGGCATAGAATAGAGGCGAAGGGTGCTATTGCAATACCAGACAGATGGCAACAACGGTTTGAATCTTACATCATCATCATTTTGGTAGATACGAAGCCTGCTACGTGGTAAGGTGGCAGCAGTGGCAACAAAACGAACCGAAGCGATTATTGGTCCAATCGGCAATGCAATGCAGTACCAGGTACCTTTTACTGTAGTTTCATGTTGCACCACCATCTTATCAAGATTCTGTATCTATCATGTTTTATTAAAATACAAAACATGTTCCTTTTGCTTCCGACTCAATCGACGAACTTGCATTCAGTCGACGACTGACTCTTCCATGTCTTCTTTGCTTACGCTTTTACTGGTGGTTGTACGGCACGTCATATCTGCTTTTCCCACCATGCATTTGCAGACCCTACAGTGGAGTCATTTGTAAAATATCATTCGTTTTAGTCGTCCTGTTGCGACAGATGCTTGAAGAAATAGTCGTGTCACAACGTCTCACTTGGGCACTCCCTTGGGGGGATATGCACGTATTCTGAACCCGATGTTTGATCCTAAACTTGCGAAGTTTGGTTTGATGGAACTTGAAGTATGTTGGAAGTTTGTTTGATGGACAAAAGAACAAGAGAACCCCCGAAGTTTGATGAATTCTTGCGCCTTCCCTTTTTTTTCTTCATTCCATCAAGAGGAGTGAGTCAAAAGTTCGGATGATGCACGAAGCGGTGGCGCCGGACAAGAGACAGACGTCGTAATTATCAGTGGTGGCGTGCGATGGTCTGATAGACGTCGTAGTGGTGGCGTTGATCTGTCTGCCTGATACACGGAGTTGATCAAACGACCCGGAACTAAGAACACGTCGGAATTTGGATGGGAGATTTTTTTTCCGATCGAGCTTTTTTGGTGCACCTCGTACTGTATGGAATATCGCCCGAGGAAGATAGATACTAAGACAGCTACAATAGTGCCTGCACTCTCTCTCTCTCTCTCTCTCCAAGCATCACCGTGACGCAGACTTACTTCATTTCAATCCTTCAACTCCATTCCTTTCAAACTGAAAAACAGTTTCTTAAACACTTTAAGAAAAAGAAGAAAGGATGATGAATGGCAAACATCATCATGTTGTGGACCATAATGGTAACCACGATTCACAAAAGGAGAGCGGCGGTAGCAGTAGCGCCAGCGGGAGTCCAAGTCTGTTGTCGCAATCGCTTCAGCAACAAATGAATATGAATCTTGGAGCTGATAATAATAAATCACCAATACCAATGGTACCGGTTCCACAAAGTCCACCCAGACCAGAACGATCTTATGACTTTGGAAATATCAACATTGATCCCATAGCCATGCAATCCCTGGGATCGATGTCCATTGAACAATTTGAGCAACAACGGCAGCAGCAGCAGCAGCAGCAGCAACAACAACAACATCAGCAAGGGCTGTATTCTCTGGACGATTATGGTTCACCAAAGGAAAGCACGAGCAAATTGAATGAGTCTCCCCTGAGAAATTGGTTGCCCAACAATTCGGATACTACCATTATGACTTCCAACATTGCTTCTGCCGCCAACAAATCATTACTGGGACAACTCCATCATGAAGAGCAGCAACAACAGCAGCAGCACCAAAAAAGTCACCACAATGCTCTATCCATGGCAACCAGTCCACCAATATCCACGACGCAGTTTCCACATCTGAATGGTGACGCACCAGCTTCTACTTGCGTGACCATTCTCAAAAATGCAGACTTGTCCCCCACGGTCGAACGTTATTCCGAAGAGGACGGTTCCTCATCCTTGAATGGAGGAAGCAGACGCAACATTATGGGTCAAAAGGTCGATAGCAAATATGCTCCTATCCCGGCTCCTCCGACTACTGCAGCACTCGAAACGACGCCCACTCCCGTGTATTATACCTTCAATTCCTTATTTCAAGCTTCCGGCAACAACAGCAACAATAACAATGACATGCTGCTGGTGACACCGACACCTGATGGAGATTCCACTTCTTCCAACAATAACAACAATAACAACAACAACAACAATCCAAGGCAACTCTGGAGTTCTTCCATTCACGCCCAAAGTCTACTACTCGGAATTGCATTCATGGCCATTTGGACGCCCAACAATGCCATGGCGCCCAATCTAACCGCCATGGCCAGTGACTTTCACATGACTTCGGATTATGACCGCGATTTATATTTGGGATCCTACATTAGTCTGGCGCTGGGTGTCTTTTGTCTGCCCATTTCCGCCCTGTTGGGTTTCATGGCCGACTTTTATTCCCGCAAATATTTGTTTCTGGCCTGCGTGGTGGGTGGCTCCCTGTCGACCCTGTGGACGGCCCATGCCCAAACCTTTGTGTCATTGTTTTGGTCCCGACTGTCCTGTGGTGGATGCATGTCGGCCAGTGTGCCCGTCGCATTTTCTCTCTTGGGCGATTTGTTTGCGGTCGAAGAACGGAATGCGGCCTCCAGTGGTTTGACGAGCATGATGGGACTCGGGATTATCATTGGACAAGTCTATGCGGGAACGGTAGGGCCACAAATTGGATGGCCGCATATTTTCATGATGTCGGCATTGCTCCAAGCCATTACCGCGCTGTTTGTACTGCTCTGGGTTCAAGAACCTACCAGGGGTGGAAAAGAAAAAGCCTTGCAGGATATGCTTTCCAGTGGCAAAAAGTACGACCGACAATTGACCCTGAGAGGGTTCCTGGATGCCATGCATAAGAATCGATCCAATTCCATTCTACTATGGCAAGGCTTCTTTACATCTTTGCCTTGGGGGATTATCTTTGTCTTTCTAAATGACTTTTTGAGTCAAGAAAAAGGATTTAGTGTGCCAGATGCTACCTTGTTGGTCATGCTGTTTGGATTGGGATGTGCGATTGGCGGCATTGCGGGTGGGTACCTTGGACAAGTTTGTTTGCAATACGATCGCAAATATCTACCATGGATGATGGCCGCCACGACGGCCTGTGGTATTTTGCCCTTTATCGGACTTTTGGAAACCGATTTTGACAATGACTATGAGGAAGGGAAAACGAGCAGCGTTGGGTATTTGGCCATGACGTATGCACTCTTGTGTGGATCAGTGGCGTCCTTGCCCAGCGTCAATGTCCGACCGTGCATCATCAATGTCAATCCACCCGAGACAAGAGGTGCCGCACTGACGGCGAGTAACTTGTTTATTACTCTGGGTCGAGGGATTGGGCCTTCCTGTATTACACTATTGGGAATTGCTGGAATCAGTCGACGAAATGCATTCAATATTACATTGACTGTATTTTGGGTCATGACTGCTGGTCAACTCTTTCTTTTGGGATACACCTTGCCCAAGGATCAAGATGACATGGAAGCCGAACTAGAACGCTATGCTGCCATGCACACTGTTGGTGGCGGTACTGGTGCGGGCTTGAGTGAAGATAGCAGTGATGATGATGATGACGGTAATTCCAGCACTTCAACGGACGAGGACCGGGATTCACCGGTGGAAATCGAGGCAGGCAAGCCAAAGGAAGAGCAAGAAAACAACAAGGATGTTACGACCGACACGGATGCATTGGTACCCAAGGTGGAAGTTCCACCAAAACAACGACGAATGCGATCCCCTTTGCGACGAATCTTTGGGGACAATGGCAAAAGTCCACGTCGTCGCCATCAGCAAACATCGAGAGACGATCCATCCTTGAACTCGATGTCGAGTATTGAAGAGTACATGACTTCGATCAATAGCTTTGATGGTTTGGCGGCCCGACAGTCCCTTCAATTTGTCACCCAAGGGATTCGGGAATTGAAGGAAGAGCTCAGCCTGATTGGTACCGCCTGGGGTGGTCCAGTCTGCGGTCCTTCGCATTTGGCCACCTCGGAGGAGAACGATGATGACTTTGTCATTCGAAGCAGCATCGAAACAGGAGCCATCGACCTTCGAGTTCCAAACTTTGAACCGGATGGGGACCATCGACAAGGTGGTATTTCACTCGCCGAACTGGACCGACGAAAGCAAGCTTGGAATCAACGTCGCAAGGAGCAAAAACGAGAAGGAGCCGAGATGGTTGCCAACGAAAAAACTCCACTTGTATGATTCAGATCTGATACTTACTTACCGTATGCAATTCACTATTTTTGAAAACGTATCTTTTAATAAATACTCAATAGATAATAGACATAGATTGGGAATTCTTTATTCTTAAAAATTACACTTCATAGCATTGTGATCAGCATTTTGCGAGACGTCTCTTCTTGTTGGGACGTTCTTCTTTTGTCGTCGTTGTTTCTTCCTGAGGAAATAGGTTTGGGTTCTGACGAAGCAAAAAGTAGAGCATATCTGGATGATCGCTGGCGCGTTCCAAAATTGTGGGCCAAAGCGGGCGCTTGAGAGTCAAGTCGCCAATCTGCTTTCGGCCAGCATAGTTGATGCTTCCATAGTATTGGAGTTCTTCTTGAAAATGCGAGTTGGGCAAAAAGACAACTCGGAGTGAGTGATTGTGATCTCGAACCGTGTCGCGAATCTGTGCGGCGCTGGTCTCGTTAATTTGGTTCCCGTGCAAAAATATATTGTGCAGAGTCTGATTGTATTCTAGCCCCCTTGCCAGACTCTTGGCCCCATCGGTCCCAATGCCATTGTGGCACAAGTCAATAGACTTGAGCGTTTGATTGGATTGCAGTACAGTTCCAATAGCATTGGCACCCTCATCACCAATGCGGCAATGTTCCAAAGAGAGCTCCTTCAGCGTCGAGTTGGACGCCAATCCCCGGAGAGCTCTCCCAAACCCCTGTGGAAATGCGCATTGAGACAAATCGATTCGATTTAGTGACGGGTGCATCGAAAGCACACGGTCCAACATGTAGGTAGCATGTGGACAAAATCGATTTCGGGTAAGGCAAATAGAGGTGATTGTATGGTTGGATTGAAGTGCCTCGAATATGGGGCACATGGTCGAGCTGGGTGACCAGTCCGTGCTGGCGATTCGACCGAGATCTAAATGTCGCAAGGACGTATTCCCCAAGATCATTTGGTACAGTGCCAATTTGGATTGTCGCCCGTTCCACATGGTTTCCGATAGATCTAAATGACTAATCGTCTTGTGCATACGGATCGAGTTGCAAATATGAAAGGCACCAATGGGTGACCAGTAGACCTGTTTCATATCCAAATGTTCCAGAGACTTGGCTCCATTCTTGAGCGCTTGGGCAATCGCATACGCGAAATAGTCCGAAAAGGAGACGTTTCGCAAGGATACAGCCTCAAGATGAGCATGTTTTTCAATCACGTGTGCCAAGTCAGGGGTTGGCAACACGTTGCGTTCCAAGACCAAAGTCTTGATATTGGAATCCAAGAGTGCCTGAAAAAATGGGGACAATACTGGAGACTTGTAGAATCTAGAGCTGGATTCCGAGATGCAGTAGCCCTGTTTCTTTTCAATGCTGGGAATGTCTCCTGCCCGAATGAGAATGAGTCGTTCGAGCGATTTGGAGTTTTCCAGTAACCATGCAATATCGTTCGGATGGATGAAACTGTCCACGACCACTAGACTCTTCAGACTCCGTATCTTGGGCAAAGTTTCAAGTCTGCTGTTCCATATTATCAGAACTTCCAGTTCCGATTGCTCAATCGTTTTGACAACACTTTTGGGTACGCTACAATGGGAAAAACAAAGATGTTTGACCTCTAGATCAACTTTCGCTGTTTCAGTTTCAGTTTCAGGTTCAAGTTCGGTTTTGGTTTCAGATTGTGATGCATCATCATGAGCATCATCATCAAAGTGCTGAAGGAGAAGAGTCTCAGAGGTATTGTGCTTTACCAAGGCTTCTTCCAGGGTTGCAATAGGGCCATCCGTTTCATCTTCCGCATCCTCTTCTGGTTCGTTTGGCACCTGTTGGTCCACAATGATTGCCGATGGGTCTCTAGGCTGCAATGCCAGTCTACATATCTCATGCAAGCTTTGTGGTCTGAAATGCTGGGCAAAGCAACCCAAGTCCAGCAGTATTCTGTCCAGTTCGTATTCCCCGTGGCTGCTCATCGTTTGCTTTCGAATAATGCGACGAGAGTGGCCCTCAACGATTTTCGCTTCGCGTGGCTTTGAGTAGTTGGTTGGTTTTGTCCGCACAAGTTTTCCAGGTTTGTTTACTTACACCAAACGCATGATGCCAAAGTTTTGAAAAGACATGACTTCTTGTAATTGTGGTGGCATTTCCTTGTCCGTGGAATTTATTTTTTTCTAAATTCTCTAATTGCAGAGTTTCCCTCTACCGCAATTAGAGTCGACAACGATGCCGGACACGCTAATTAATAAATCAACGGAAGCACAAAAATGACACTCCCTGTTTTTACTGCGAGTACTTCGACTATTTCACAAGTTGAAGAGGAACGAAAAATTATTAGCGAGGGTGGGTGCAATGCAAGACGGCCCATCTTCGGCAAGTTGAAAGTGTGAGAAGTGAAGGTATACCAGTACCGGTACGGTATATGAAGTGTCATCGAACGCTTCCTTGTATACTGTACCGACTCATCAGCCTCAACAACGTTTGGTGAACGCCGCAGAAAATGCCGGCACACGCACATAACAATCGACGTCGTAGACAACGGCGTTCCATGGGTACAACCCTGGTGACGACGGCTGTAGTCGGGTATGGTGCATATCGACTGGCCGAATGGCTATGGAGCTCGGACGAGGATGACAATCATCATGATGATCCTGAGGAAGAAGGAATCTTTTCTGCATTGGGCAGCTGGATGTCATCTACAATGATGAGAAACTCGTGGGGACAACAACAACAACAGCAACGGTATTCACCATCGTCACCTCAGCAGCAGCCAAGATTAGATCCTCGAACCCAGTGGAAGCTTCGTCGACAACGAGTCTTTAAGTGTCGAGAAGAAAGCATCAAGGCGTGTCAAACTTGTTGGCCAGCCTTGACGGAGAACATTGAAGAAATGACCAACACATCCGCTGCCATGCGCAAATTAAGGGACCTGAGAGCTTCCAAAGATGGTCATAGTGACGATTTGTGGAAGGAAATTTATGTGGAGACACTGACGCGCTTTTTGAGTTGTGTGTATGCCCACGGACTATGGTTCAGTATGAGCACGGTCCAGATACACTATGTTGGGGGGCGAATGTTTCGTCAGGTACCGCCCTTGGAGGATGACGAAAAATCCATGCTGACAGAATCACATCAATACATGCTTCAGCACGGCTTGAACCGGTTGGTTCCCATGATTCGAAAGACAATCCTTCCCTTTATTGACGAATGGAAAGCAACGACCACTATTTCCAAAATTGAGCTGCATCAACTTATTCGAAAAGTCCAAAGTACGATCGATGCCACCTTTTCGACGCAAAACAACAACAAGTACGCCAGGAATTGGATCCGGTTCGTCTTGCCGGACGATTCCGTGGACGAGGTTTGGGACATTTGCCAAAGCCCCGTATGGGACGACGCGCACAGTCACTTGCTCAATGATACTATTGACATATTGCTATCGTCGCCAGAAGAGAATGGAGAGGAAGAAATTGCGGTTGCCAAGCACATGGCTCCGCTCAAAAAGTCCTGTCCGAAGCTTTCCCTACCTGAAAATTATCAGAGATGGATTGCCATGCCAGCAATGTTGGAGCTCGGGGACGTTAGCTTTCAATAAATAGTGTCAACTTGTTATTATGAAATATTGATAAGCGGTATTAGGACTATACTGTTCTATTTTCTAAATTGTTTTGAAGGGCCTGACTGCCACATAATGTCATGATGATTTAGCGAGGGTGTATTGCCGGTATTTCAGCTTTTCCTTTTGCAACATTACCTTTGTCTTGGCAGTCAGTTGGAATATTGATCTTGGGTAGCATGCATCATAGCGTCGTAGTGCATCGAAAAGACGTGATGGCTTGGAATGAATGTCACTGTCCATTGTAGACGTCGCATGGATTAGAATGGCAACATCCTCCAGTAGCTGTTCCGAAGGCTTCATCGGAGAGGACGCACACATTTTGCCCTGCAGCTGTTCCTGTAGGTTGGTTTGCATCCGCACAAGCCGACGCAATGTGTGCCACATATATCGCTCGGTAGAGATGAGTGGGTATAGATTGGTGGCCCCACGAACGGCCATGTCTACTAATGCTGCCGAATCATTGCAGACTCCCAGAATACCGTACCCACCAAATGGGAGATCCATTTCCGTCGCAATGGAATTGAAGGCGACCGCCAAGATTCCCGTTGTGCGGACTGCCTTTAAGGATTCCTGAAAATTGTAAACTTCGCTGGTGGCCTCCAGCCGTTGCCATGGAACAACTGGATAGTGGTTAGAATTCCAACCACACAATCCGTCAATGGAAACATAAAACTGAATATCACACTTTGCTGACTGCCCTTCCAAATGATGGCCCTGGACGGCCTTCTCGACCAGTGGCCCACGAATAGACAAATCCAAACCACCATGATTTCCCAAGAAGAGTAGCGGATCGCCATTCTCCGCTTCAAAACCGGCCCGCATGAAAACCCCTAGCGGGATACCAGTGAACGATCCATCCTTTTCCTTGACACATGCGGCAAGTCCAAAGGTGGTGACAGTACTTCTTGGGCACACTTCAATTTGGTGACCCGTTTTTAAGAGAGCCTGTACGAATTCATCTGGAAAGTGGCACGTGATGCCGCTCACATCAACGGCAAACAAGGTATTCGATAATAATTCGCCATTCCGCACTGACAAATTGTTGGTCTTGAAGGTCTCGACCAGGTAATAATTGTAAGATAACTTGTTCAGTAATACTGCGATGATCCGGTTCAGCAAGATTTCCCGTTGGGTATGAGTACATGTGGCTTGTCCCCATCCGAGATACAAATCTGGCAACAGCCTCTCATTGAATGGGACGGGTGGAGGAAACGATGCATTATCAGGGTCGTATATTGCCGAATCCTTGTTGTTGTTGGATCGAATACGGGCTTCCATATTCTGAATAGCAGTCTCCAAGTGTTCCTCAAGGAGGAAGGGATTGGGTACCATCGACTCGTTTCTTTCTTCTCCTGAATCCGATTCACATTCAGCTTTTGTGTCTAATCTTTCTTCTGATGATGATTCTTCCTGGCGAGTGTGCCCTACGTTGGTAACGCTTTCGTCAAAGCGAATGCTGTAGCCAACTTCACCTTGTCTCAGTTTGTCCAATGGCGTTATCTCGGATGATCCATAATGCGCCATCTTTTGGTTAATATTCGTAACACTAACCATTTCTCCAACAGTGAAAGGAAATGCTGCAGCAACATCATAGCTCGAAGACTGCTGGTTTGCTTTGATATCCTGAATCAACAGTCGAGCTGCCACCCATGACGCCATTGTCCCCGCAACTGCGGTCAGCCACGAGTCGACTTTCGTGATTCCGAGCAACGGAAGCATCGCAGGTCCAATTCGTGGGCCCAATTTGCTTAGTAGGTAGCCCCCCAACACTGCTTCTAATTCCTTTTGTAGTATAGCGGGTATTTCCTGTTGAACATTGTCCTCTCCATCTTGTGTGACGCGCAATTGAGACAAATATTGTCCCATACTCATCATCGGATATTCCTTTCCATATTGTTTCAGAAAGTCCTCTTCCAATTCCAGACATCGAATGTGCTGTGATGCGGGTGAGGTGTCACGATACACCAAGCCCTGTTCTAACCGTTGTTCCAATTGCCTCAACCGCTTCTTGATGGAATTCCGGTATTTTACTAACAATCCAACACTGACGGCGCCAGCTCCTGCCAACACTGAAACCAAGGCAGTCTGCCACCATGGTAATTTCGCGTTGGAGAAAACATTGAAATTTCTATTGGTTGTGACAGATGACGAAGAGGCCATTGCATCTATTTCTCAACCTACGCAGTTAAAGGTGCGAGCCAAGTAACAGGTATCGACAAGAGACTTCTTTTGTAAACGATGAAGTTATTATATTGGCTTTTATGGCAAAAATATCGATTCCAGCGACTAATTCGACTACGAACAGTATTCAGTTTACGAGTATTCTTCCAGCTGCATGTTACGTCCGATACGCACTCCATTAGATGACTTGTACCGCTATCTCAGTGCTTCGAGTTCGCTTTGGAGCTGTTGACTGCTTGTTTGTGTCGTGGTCGCTCTTGATTCGTCGCTGATTTCGAAAATAGTGGGCAACCTTGTCTCTTGCTGCTTCGTCATCAACTTCCACCCATCCGGTTTCTTCCCATTTCAGAAATCGCCCTTTACTCTGATGAATAATGCTTACGATGCGTTCAGATATCTCAGCCTTCACGGCACGGTAAGACGCTCCATCGTATCGGGATTGCCACATATTTACAAGCTGGAGCGCTCGAAGATTTCCAGTATGTGATCGTACCTTCGTGCCTCTACCGAAGAGGACATCAAAGCGATGGGGAAACAAAGTCTTTGGTATCTCCCCTGTTCCGGAGACTTTCATCTCTTGCGCTTGCCGAATCTGGAGCCACTCTCGATGCGGGGCTAGTGGAAGTTCACCATTCACTCGTTTTAAAGGAGAGTCCTCAGCGATTGGAATTCCATATGTCTGCAGCTGGAATAGTAGGTGTTTCTCGTTCCCAAAATGAATTCGGGACCTCGTTCTGCCACGCTTGTCCAAGAAAAATCTCAATCCAGAAACAATTGGGCGCAAGGTTTTGCTGTCGTAACAAATGTGCATGGCCTCCAATCTGTGTGGCACGGCTAGTCGCGTTTGAAAAACACTCTTGAATATATTAAAACCAAACAAGCTCGCGTCGTTTCCAACAAAGTAGAGAATCACGACAATACCCTTCCTTTGCATGTTTTCATCTTGCATCGCGGTTTGCATCATATAGTAGAGCATTCGTTGCTAGCAGGATCGACAGATAGGATTGAGATATTTCATTTACACATGTCGCTCATGCTTCACAGCAGATTCAGACTTACTGCTGTCTTGGCTTTAGGTTTATCACCCCATTTCCTTAAGAAAAGCAACAATACTGCCCGGCCAGAAACGTCGCAAGTAGGCAGCAACTGCAATGCACCCGACTCCAAAGCTTTCAGTCCGCTAGAGTCCATATCAGACATGCGGACATCTCTTACTAATACATCCCCAGAACCAAACAATTGCTCTTTTTGTTGAAAATGAAGAACAAGACGTCCTGCCGCATTCTTGCAGTTGAAAGCCTCGCATCTTAAGAATTGCAAACGGAAGCTCTGACTGGTTACATAGGTAGGATTCATCTTCAAAGCCTTCTCATATGCTGGTTTCTTGTTGATCTTGATTTTCTGCACTTCTTCCTCCAGCTCGATCAAGCATTGGTAAACAAGTTCTGGTGTTTCTTCAACTTCAGCTGCAATACCGTGAACTTCGAACGAAGCTACATCTTGTTCGGACATGGAAAGATTCGCCAATTCCTCAGCCAGTAGCTCTTCAACTTTCGCTGCTTCCTCATCGGTTCCAGGTAAACGCTGTTGGCAACCAACTTGCTCTAGTCTACGCAACGATACTTCAGCTGTTTCTTCGGCCATGATGGTAGATTGACGGCAGTCGGGGGGTGGGGGATGAAAAATGCAATTTGGTTATCCTTATCTTCTTGGTCACTTTGCACTCACAGATACCGCATACAGGTATGCATGTCTTTTTCTGAACACAGTTCCCCACTCGATTCAACCGACTACAACTCCGAAATAATGTAACATTCATTCTATCTTCTATCTATTCCTTGTTTCAGAAATGCTTCGGTTTCGTTTGGGGGTTGTTCCCTTCTTACCGGTGTCCTTGTCGGCCTTAGATCGTCGTTGGTTCCTAAACCAATGTGATATCTTGTCTCTTGCGATTCCATCATCAACTTCAAACCATGATCCTTGGTCCCACTTCAGAAATCGTCCATTAGACTCATGTATTATGCTTATTATACGCTCAGAGATCTCGGCTTTTTCGAATCGGTTGGAAGCTCCATCGTATTGGGATTGAAACATATTCACCAAATGAAGTGCTCGCAGGTTTCCTGTATGTGATCGTACATTCGTACCTTTGCCGAACAAGACGTCAAAGCGATGGAGAAGCATAATCCTTGCTTTCCCAACATTCGATTCCGCCAGTTCGACTTCTTGTGCTTGCCGAATCTGTAGCCATTCCTCGTGCCATGTCATCGAAAACTCACCATCCACTAGTCGGAACGGCGAGTTCTCTGGGATTGGAATTCCATACGTCTGCAGCTGGAATAGAATACGTTGCTCGTTTCCAAAGTGTACGCGGCTCCTCATCCTCACACGCTTGTCCATGAATAATCTTACCCCCGACACAAATGGACGTAGTTTTTCATTGTCATAACAGTAATGCATGGCTTCGAGTCTGTGGGGCACAGCCAATCTTACGCGATAGATATTCCTCACAAGATCCAAGCTGACGGCACCTGCTTTCTTTCCACCAACGTAGAAGATAACAACCAGTCCTTTCTGTCGCAAACCCTCGTCTTGCACGGCACATTGCAAGGTATAGTATAGAAAGCTTTGCTACGAGCGATTGAGAAGTTGTTTCATTCAATGATTTGCAAGTGTTTCAAGCTACTTACTCCTCCTTTCACATCAGTGACATCCTTCCATTTCGATAGAAACATACACATTACAGGTCTTCCTCTGACATCGCGAGTTGGAAGCATCTGCAGCGCTCCACTTTTGAAGATTTCCAATGCGCTTTCATCCAAATCTGACAAACGGACATCTCTCACCAAAACGTCCCCAGAACCAAATAGTTCCTCTTTCTGTTGAAAATGAAGACGTAGTCGATTGGCAGCATTATTGCAATTAAAAGCCTCGCATCTCAAGAATTGCAAGCGGAAGCTTCGACTACCAACATATTCTGGATTCATGTTCAATGCCTTTTCATAGGCTGACTTATTCCTCTTGATTTGCTGCAGTGCTTTCTCCATCTCGCTCAGAGATTGGGTGATGAGATCTTCTGTTTCTTCAATTTCTAGAGCGATTCCATGCACTTCAAATGATACGATATTTTGTTCCAACATGGTAAGCTTAGACATTTCGTCAACAAGCAATTCCTCCACACTTTCCGCTTCTTCGGCAGTTCCAGGGAATCGTTGTTGACAACCTGCCTGCTCTAGTCTGAGAAGAGAAGCCTCCTCTCCCTCTTCGTCCATGGTGCAAGTAGATCTGTCGGCCGCTGCTTCAGTCTTCCATTATTTCTTGACGTTGAAATGAGTTTCTCGTGCTTCCGTTTCGATTTGTGTAAAAGGCCACGCCATCATCTCATCTCGTATCATAATCGTACGAGTACGTACGTATTTTTAAAAATGCAGTGAAGGGTTGAGTTTGTGTGGTGATTATTCGACTTTGACTCATACGACCGGCTGGTGGTTGTCTGAAACATTATCGGTGGCGCCACACTACTTATATACAATACTATATTTATGCCAAACACTCGTTCTAATGGAACTAACTTTTCGGTATTCCCCGAAGCAAACAATATATGTACGGTATGTTGTATGTACCGTCGCCATTGGCTTTTGAAGGATGCCTCCCGCCAATTTAAAGCTTGACGTAGTCATCCTCTTCTGCGGGGGAAGCGTCATTCAACAAAGTTTCTTGGTTCGAAGAAGCCTCCCTTGCGTCAAGAATATAGATCTTGGTCAAGACAAACAACCACAAGAATGCAGCCAAACCTCCTGCAGCAAATTCAAGTCCAGAAATGGCGGCAGATGGGAAACGCTCCACCATAGAAATGTTGTAAGGATCCGAAAGCTTGATGGCAATCGCCAACGTTGCCCATCCGATGACGCATGGGACAGCATACTGTTCCTGCATAGTAAAGAAGAAACCAGCACCAGCCAATAGAAGAATACTGAGGACCGCAACCACGACTTGGAAATTCTTGGAAAACCATCCCATATCTACAAGCAAAATACTAAAGTTGACCAATGAGGCAGCCATGATCCATGCAGCATGGGTCTCGAAAGGGAGCTTGAGGAGAAAGTAGCTTTGGTTATCATTTGTCATGTGGTTTCTGAATCGGAACAGAACAATCATCAATGGAATAAGGATGAAGATCATTGCAATCATAGAGTTAAGAATGTACTCTTGAGCAAAGAATCCAGTCCACGCGATTTGAGCGATGCAAATCCAGACGTAGTTCCAGCCAACACCGTTGATCACCAAATCACATGCTCGGTAGGCAGGGAGCAACTGAGCAACTGCCCATATCAATTGTGCAAGGAAGACGACTCCCCAGATGGAAAAGGCATATCCAGAAGGAGTGAGTAGAGTAGGATACTTGGCAGAGATTTCTGCGTTGGTGGGAATATCCGAGATGTTGGTGGATCCGATGATGAACACAATACTGACGTTAGCGATGTAGCAAATAATGTTTGCAATATTGATTGCCTGAAGACTTGGGGATGCAGGCGATTCTAGCTCCTTTGATTGTGCTTTGGAAACATCGTCGTCGAATGTCTTATCGGTCATAGACTTATAGCTGGCATCTTCTGCATAGCTTCGGGCAACCAACTCCTCTGCAGGTTGTTCACCGTCTTGGTAAGCAGCGAACGCCTTCATTCCAGGGTCATCTTGTCCCATAGCCTTTCTTACTTCGGGGTTATCGAAGCTTGGGTTTTCAGCATCAAAGCTTGGGTCTGTCTCATACGTCGATGTCATGGTTGGAAAATCTTTCACTTCAAAAGGAAATGATGATGGCAATCTTGAGGTGGAAGCAAAATGCTTGTCCGACTCGTCCTGCGATATCGCTGACATGATTACTTAGAGGAAAAACTCGTTGTGGGAACTCGCCAATTTAAATAGCAGTCATATCAGTCAAGTCGACAGATACGATTAAAATATCTATCAGATTTGCATTTCTGGCGCACTTCCTCATTCAACGCCTTCCATCGTGCACCGGATTGATTGTGGAGATGACGAAATCCAGCAATCGGCTCACGGTAGAACCATGAAGTACAGCGTTCACGACAAAGCCACGAGTCTAACGAACAAAGCATCAATATCTAGTCGAAACACTTGGAGAATGACAATGCAAACAAGAAAGTGGATTATGCTGTCCTTCTTGGCGACTTGTTTCTTGGTAGTGAATGGCAAATCATTACGCCGTTCGTCACGAGATAAAAGGCAATATTCAAGCAACCACATAATCGATAAGAAAGAACGAGATCTGCAACGAGCTTTGCAAAGAATAGGATCACCAAAACGACGGCTCCAGGAGTCGGATCTCCAACTTGAAACCAACACAACAGCTCCTCGAGAAGAAGAAGTGGGAGAAGGAGAGCAAGTCTTCCAAGCTAATACAAACACCACAGAAACGGTCAAAGGACAAGAAGAATCCGCGCTTCTGCTTGGCATGAGTACCAAGGCTGGTGAAGCAAATTCGTCGTCACCTTTCTCTTTCGGGACAGGGAACGCTAATGAAGAACAATCGTCTCCCTTCTCTTTTGGAATTCCACAAACCGAGAACGAAGAGCAACAAACTGAGACAGAAAATGCCCCTCTGGTCAATCTCGATACTGAGCTAACAACCGAAGAACCGTCATTGTCTGTCAATTCAACAGAATTTCTGAACGAACAGGGAGGAATGCCGGCTTCTGCAAACCTTGATAGTCAGCAATCCGGTCAAGATGAGTATATGAACTTCCATTTCGGTGCTGGGCAGATCCACAAAGAAGAGCATACTTCTCTACCACTGAACGAAGAAGACCCGAGTGGGACTTATGTTGATGGAAACTTAGTGGATCAGTTTGCCAACATGTTCAACATGGTGCATGGAAATGCTTTGCCGATAGACGATCCTTATCCTCAATCCCAATCTGGGGAAGGGAAGGGTTCAATTTACTATGACGAGCTTGGAAAAGGTGGCAAGGGCAAGGGAGGAAAGGGACAAGCTAGTAAAGGCAAAGGAGGTGTAGGCAAAGGAGGTGTAGGCAAAGGAGGTGTAGGCAAAGGAGGCGGCATGGTGTCCCAGGACTCTGGCAATACGGGGTCATTCGATGGCACAAAAGGAGGACCTTCTGGCAAGTACAAAGTATCCAAGAAAGCCTCCTCGTCGGGATCAAAAGCCTACCGAAGAGAACACCGACTTACTATGCCACCCACGGAGACAAACCCTACTCACGGCGGTGGAAGCAGTGAAAAGAGTCGTCGTCGAAACTGATGGGACTCGGATGCATCTCAGATAGTAAGACACTTGTGAAACGATGACGACGAGGCTTGTTCACTATGACCCGTTTTCACGTTTGTAGGGCAGTTTGGCGCTCAAGAATGCGCTCCAGTCTCATGGGCAGCAAAGACAAAAACCTTCAGAAAGCACGATGGTACCGAGATTTTCTGGCCGGAGCTTCCGTTTGCTTTCCAGACTAGCTACTTTCTTGCGGACGCATGACCTCGGGAATGGAAAAGTGATTGATTCATTGACCAACCGGTCAGCCACCGTATCCCCTGGATCGGCTTACTATGGTACTCCTGGAGAGGAGGACCGAGCAGGACACCACAGATGCCAACAGAAAGTCTCTCTAAATTAGATCAAAGTTGATTTCGACGAATCCCGGAGGACAATATTGATCAGTTAGCCATATTCCCCCCTTCATCGTCTAGAGTAACCAACGTAGGTATCAGGTACGACCTCAACCGATCGACTCACTTTTTTAAAAGCAGTACACGTACACGTACACGGTACAAGGGGGGCCACAATTTATCGCATTATATAAAAAGCTGAAACATCCATTGGTTCATTCCAAAGTACTAACGCTGTAAAAGATAATCAAAAGACCACAATTCAAATATATTATATGACAATAAGACATGCCAATCTGGTACTGTACTACAATTATAGTAGTAATTAGTTTAAAATGGTGTAAGACGCCGTTGCCCCTTTCTTGGGATGTTCAGTCCAGTGCCATCATCGCGATACTGCATGCACCACCGAGTATTGCAATAAAAAATATTTTTATTGGCAACAACGGCTGTTCACATGTCTGACGGATATCGCTTGCTCCCCATATTGAGCAGGGTGATGGATCACATGACACTGATATCCCAAGCGAGGCTTCCGCTTTGCCTTTCAATCCTTTGGAAATAGTAATCTCAAATCGATGATCTTGTTATTGAAGTAGGTACGCCAATCCCAAATCCTAAAGGGACCACTTATCTGGGATCTTGCTGATCAGGACGCGCTTACGAGCCTCGACCTGCCCATCCCACCCCCGTCATCCCACCCAAACGATTCGTTTTAGGTGGCCAAACAAGACTGGAGGGAAGCACCCAGTCGCAGCAAGCCATGAAATCATCTGGTTTCGCGTCGCCGATGCAACCTAGTGAGTGACCAATCCACTAGAAACCACAAAGGCAAACACTAGCCTTCCGAAGGATCCCTTGGAAGTGTGACAATAAAATAAATGCGAAAATGTATTCTCGCCAAAATGTCCTAAAAGAGAAAGAAAAAAAAGTGAGATCATGGTTAAGAAAGTAAATGCAATTGATGGGGTGAATTTCCAGAAACTCTCTGATGGGTTGTTCGTGTGTTGTCGCACACTATTATCATACTTCATCTCTGTCAAAGTCGTAGCAAGAATGTGCTCTAATTAGCACCTTTTCCTCGATTTACCACTCGGCGACTGTAACGTCTTCCTTTTTCCGTCATGCCAGATCCCAAAGCTTCATTAGAGGGATGCTTCTTATCTGGCGAAAGCTTGAGCTGTAGCCGTCGGCTATAGCGCTTTCCAGATTCGGTCCATCCAGATCCCATTCCATCAGAAGGAATATCATTCGTAGCTGCGATGTCAGATTGCTCAGTTGGTGCTGCAAAAATCTCGCCATCGCTACCATCCTGCTCCAAAGAGTCGAAGTCGTCATTAATTAATCCAGCATCAAAAGGCGACTCGTCAATGGTACTCAAGTCTTCTCCCTCTGGATCTTCGATAATGACATGAAGGGAAGGTTTGAATTCCTTCTTCTCGTTCACGTCGTCGACTTCTTCTTCTTCCTCCTCCTCCTTTGGATCTTCGATAATGACAAGAAGGGTTGGTTCAAAATTATCCTTCTGGCCCTTGCTTCTTCTGGCTCTTGCCTTTTTTGCCCACTTGGCTCTCTCGGCCTTCATCATCTTGTTCAAATTCGCCTTCTCGGCCAAGATCTCCTCGGCCTTCTTGACCCAAATAGCGTCAGCCTTGGCAAGACGAGTCGATCCTCGTTCATTGGCGATGTCATCGTTGAATCCAGCATCCAACGACGAGTCAATGTGGCTCTCGTCGCCGTCTTCTTCTAGATCTTCGATAATGACAGGTAGCAAAGGAGTGAAGAGTTCGTTGGTTCGTTTGGCCCATGTTGCAGCGCAAGTTGGAACCGTATATGATGAATTCATTTTGCGACGCTTGGTGGGTCTGGATGAAATAAGGCAGGAAGTTGCGGTTCGCTTGAGTGACAATGGTGCTTGTTCTTCCATGCAGGGCTCGTTGTCGTCGTCATCCAAATCCATTGGTACAGGAATATTGGAGAGCATGTCATGAAGGACCGTTGGAAGCATTTGTCGGTGGTTCTCGAGCGCGATTGCAATGGTTTCAGAGTCGATCTTGCCATCAATAAATCCAGTATCCAAAGACGAGTCAATGTCACTCAAATCTTCTTCTGCTGGATCTTCGATAATGGTGGCAAGCACGGTAGGTTTGAAATCGACCTTCCAGCGCCGAGCATTCCGTCTCTTGATCTTGCGGTCAATTTGATGAATTAGCTGCCTTCGGGAATGAAGTTCTTGCTCGTCGGGAATGAAGTTTTTCCTTCGAGTCTTAGGAGCGAATTGGACTTGGTTTGAAGAGGTTGGTTTGGGTGATCCCCAATCTTTTCTTGAAGGACGAAGAATGGACACAGGAGTGTGTGGAACGAATCTCACTGTGTTCTCTATCTCTGGAATTACTTCGTCGTGAAGTTGAATGCGCCATTGAATCATACCCCAGCATTCCCTGCGAGATTGTAGCTCTTGCTTGTTTGGGACAAAGGTTCGACGAGAGATTTTGGCGAAACGGACACGATTTGGTTTTCTGATGAACACACCAAACCAACTTCGGTTTTTCTTGCGAGACCCACCTTCTGGACGACGAAGGACGGAAACAGGAGGCTGTCGTCTCTTCCATTGCCTGCAAAGTCTCTGATAGGTTCGGTAAGTGTCGAGTATCATGTACCGAAGTAACACGATTGCGACTGCACAAACCAAACCGGTAATGATGGTTTCTTGAACTTGTTGTTGTTGAGGAGTGATGGCACTCATTCGAAGTAACTTGGGAAAGCTGATGCTTTTCAAGCTTTCTTGATTGACAAAGGTAGTGATGTAGTTGGTCATGATTGCTGTTTTTGTTGTTGTACTAGTTGATTCAAAGAGGTTCATAATGGAAATTGTGAGGTGCTGCGTTGAGGTGTGGAGTGAAAACCACAGCGGGTTGGAGATCGCCAATTTGCCGTGTTTTTAACACGATTGACTCCTTCGAATCCTCGTTTGGTGGTATCGGTGGATGATGGTGTTTTGTAGGATGGATCGTTTTGATGTCATGATGGATTCGGGACGATGATTGTAGAGTGTTGGAAGGTTAGACCATTGTCGATCATAATATATATAGGACGAAAGATGTCGACTGCACGTGCGGTGGGTCATTGATGGGTCGGTCGGATCGTTGACAGGCGTACGAGTATTTGTATCTACGATACCGCAGTCCAAAGTACACGTACACGTATGCACATAGTATGCGGTGTGCGCGCTTGAGAATTCAAAATCTGCATATTTCCACGTAGCGTTTGTACACGTACACGTGTACGCGTACCGTGTACTGGGCCGAGAAATCAAATCTTGCTTCCAGCTAAATTGATCGAATTATTGATCCTTGATCTTTCGCCATCACACGATCGAATGAGTGACATGTTTCGACAACAATCAACACGACAATCATCATTTCCTACTATGCAAGGATCCTTGTCAGCTCATAAATCAAACATAGCTACTATGTCACAGCCCTCTTCCATCAATATCCTCTTGCTCATCTTGCTTTTGGGACACTCCAGTATCAAGGCCAGCGCATGGATTCCAGCATCGTCACAAAGGGCAACGCGTCAACAAGCTACTGGCATACAAAGCAGATGGATTGGTTCCTTTAGCCATAAATCTAAATGCTTCCAAGAACTTGGCCCTTTGTTTGCTTCTACATCTGAAGAGACTGAAGATGCTCTAGCTTCCGTACTGTCTAAACTACGAGTTTCTGAAATCAAGCAAGAACTGGAAGCCTTGAAGGTAGATTATACCGACTGTTTTGACAAGGAAAGCATGGTAGCCCGGCTGTTGGAAGCGCGGAATAAGAAGGATGAAAATGTTGGTGACGCTAAAGAGCCATCCTCTTCCTCACCAGCATCTTCTTCTGCCGATGCTCCTTCCTCTGAGGGTTCAAATGGCACTAAATTGGATGAGGAAGCCGAGCTGGAAAAAATTCGATCCATGAGAGTGAAGGAATTGCGAGAAGAGTTGGGGCGTCGACGCATTCCACGGGCTGGATTGTTTGACAAGGAAGACTTGGTCCAAGCGCTGTGGAAGGCCAAGCAACTTGATGCAGTCTTTTCAGCGACGGGCAATATCTTGCCTGGATGTGTAGCCGACTTGAGTGAAGATGATGTCGAAAAAGAACTGCAGCACACTGCTACTCCACTGTTACTGGATGTATATGCCACTTGGTGCGGACCATGTCAAATGATCGCACCTTTACTTGAGCAAGCTGCCCAAGAGTCCTTCAGTGGTGGTAGCGACGGCGACGTATCAAAACCACTGGTTCGGGTTGCCAAAATGGATAGCGATGCCAACCCACAAATGGCTTCCAAGCTCAAGGTGGCTGGATTGCCAACCTTGGTCTTATTCCAGCATGGGGAAGAAATAGATCGACTCGAGGGAGCCCCCATGAAAGATCAGTTGGTTGACTGGGTCACTCGCAAACTGCAATAGAAGTGACAACACGTATAGACATCATTGGACGCCAAGCGTGCTTTTTAAGATTTCCTTCCTTCAGCTAGCCGTTGACTGATCAGAGGGCATCGGAGATTGGAATTCTCAGCTGCATTTGTCTTGCCTTTGGCGTCTTCCGATGCATCAATAGAAAAGGAGGACAAGCCAAACAGTCATATAGAAACGCTTTTTCACATATATATCAATGGAAAGATTATGTTGTTGCGACTATGACTCGTTTATCACTATGTAGTATGTTTTCTCCAGTCCAATTTCAAATTCGGGGGAACACCACTGTGCCAACTTTTTGCTCATAGAACTGCCACGTACTAGCTAGTATAGAACACAACTTCCACTCTATGCCGGGGAGTTGAAAGCGAACCGATCTCAGAATTCAGTCATTCGGAGTAAGTTTTTGGCCTAGAAATGTGTCAAATACAGAAGTAGAAACGATTTTTCGGAGCAACATGTTACGCCCTTCGGAATTTTATGAATGTGCCGTCATCAAACGGGTCATCGCACACACAAAACCCACAATCTTAAAAGCAAAAAGCATGAATTCCACTAACGACCATCAAAGCCCCAACAGCCACACAGCACAAACGGAGATGAACAATAATGGTACAAAGAAGCAAAGAGTTAGATTCAACGAAGGGGTCCTGCAGCGATCGGTTCCAAGCCTGCGGGACTACAGTCAAGAAGAGATTGAACAATACTGGTTAAGCGAAAAAGAGATGACCAAGACTTTGGACCGCATCGCCAAAGTTGCGCAACGAATGGAATCTGGCAAGAAACCCCGTCATGGATCGTCCTACAGAGGCTTAGAGAATGCAACTGTGGAAGGTGAAACCGAATACTTCTACAACGTTCAAGACGTTGTGGAATCAGTTCTATGTGAGCAAGAGCAACAATATAATAAAAATTTCAGCGACGAAGACCTCATCGCAGAAGCATCAAAATTGTACAGCGACGTTACACTAGCGGTAGCATTGAGAAGGGCAAAGTCTGATGCCCGAGAGGCCAAGAAAGCTTATCGTCAAATGGAGGACATTCTTTCCTACAACCCATCATCATGTGCTGAGGAAGGATCATCATCATCCTTCTGCTGCACCGACGATGATCTTGTGCCCATCCTCAAGACTGGAAAGGACGTTTTTCTACCAAAAGAAGCCCACTTGGAGCCATCCAAATTCCAACCGAAGAGAGCATTCTCGTGTTCTTGAGGAAACAAGACCAAGCAAGAAGAAGGTGGCCACAATCGCCACTGTTGCTCGTTCGATCATAGAAACATAGAAAGAATACAGCTGAGTTCATCGCAAAGGACCAGAATAAATTAGAATGAAAATATCGCGTTCCCAACTTCCCGGAAGTTTAAAACCTCAACTGCCTTTCAAGGGGGAAATAAAATGCCGGACGATACTTAGCGGTTTGCATTTTGACAGATGCTATTAGGGACTCGGCAGGCAGTCCAGCCAGTCACGTTTGGAGACAATAAATTGAAAATGAAAATGGAATGAACAACAACAAAATCATGCATATCTCGTTCATGATAGATACGATTTAGGAGAGGCAATTTAACAACACATTATTAGGTTGAAAGTGATCTACTCAAGGACTACACTGATCCATAGTCCAGCCAAACACTAGATTTTCAATGGCCCGCAGTGCCACCATCAAGAAAACAACAAGAACAAAGCCTAGTAAAAGCTGTGGTACTAAGGACGATCAGATAGGTCCATATTCAGGACTTAAATTAAGAATAAGAAGAGCAGATTACAAATAGATTGGAACATATCTAGCTAGCGGGGATACTACGCTTGCATTGTATGCATTGTATTCGATCAACAAAGCAGTGGAGTAAACAATTTTTTGAGGACCATCGCTAAAATTGGCAAAAACGGTATGTCCTCCTTCCGCCATAAAGAGACCTCTGCCATGGTTTTTATTTCTTCCCGAACCGCCGAGGTATTTTGGCAAATCACTACCCAAGTACAAGGCCCATCTTCTACGTCCACTGCGTATCCAGGACTCAGTGTGCAATAATCTGCATGCAATGAAGTATGATATGATCCACAGAATTACGGAATCTTTCGAAGGACTGAGCAGCACAGTGCAATTTTCGGTACTGGCATGTGGAGTTTTCTTCTTTTTTGGAATACACAATCTGCTGCAGGAGGCAATTATGAGTATTGATGGGTTTACTTTTGGGGTGATGCTCGGTGCGTACTCTTGGGAGATATATAGGTGCTTGTAGCAGTGTTGCTATCCTCGCCGTCCTGTCTTGTCTCGTGTTTGGTATCATCCTTCAGGTCTCTGATGTGTTTTCGTCATTTTTTCTGGTTTCGAAGGGTTCTTGGAAGTCTTGGGGTGAGTATTACCGAATTCTGTGTTATCCGTGTTCTTTGGAAATCTTCAATCATCTCATATTGCTGCTTCATTGTGTATCTTTCGCTACGTCCCTCGAACCCACATATTCCATACGATACACAAACGATTGATAGTGTGACGATATGTTCCTTCCTGGAACGGACTTTTGTGGCAAAGGAGAAGGGAAGGGTAGCCCCACTTTCAGCATACCCTCTACTCACTGGATGCTTGATGGTTTCATCATCATTTTCAAATCTGGCTCTCAATTACATCAATTTTCCTACAAAGGTATGTTTCTAAAGATAACGAAAAATGAAACGACAAACGCTTCTCGGTGGCTTATTCCAGTTGATTCATTTGGCGGCTCTAATTGTTTCCTCCTTGTTGTTGATCCATATTCAAACCAATTCTCTCACTGTCTCCTTGTATCCCCGTCGGATCTTCAAACAACACTCTCGCCAATTTACTATATCTTCTGATCTTGAATTTCATCCCTTATAAACAAAGGTGGTCTTCCGAAGTTGTAAACTGATCCCAACTATGGTCGTCGCTTCCATTTTGCACAAAAAAGTCTTTACCACTGTTGAATATATTTTTGCCGTTTGCGTTTCAATGGGGCTGGTTCTTTTTGCGGCTGCCGATTGGCAAGTGACGCCTACCTTCCATCCGATCGGTTTGGCCATGGTTTCCCTGAGTGTTTGTGGTGACGCTATCTTGCCAAACGCTCAAGAGAAACTATTTCAGAATGGATCATCACGATTGGAGGTAACCTTTTACACCAACATCTTTACGTTGATGGCCATGACTGTCACTACGTTGATCTCGGGCGACTTGATAGGAATGATTGTATTTGCAATGACCAATCGAACCCTTTGCATTTATATTGGCATCTACACCTTCATTGCTTACGTTGCCATCTCCGTTCACATGACTGTGGTGAAGAAGTACGGTGGCGTGGCAGCCGTTCTGGTAGCTACCGGGCGGAAAGGAATGACCCTTATTCTATCCTTTATCTTATTTCCCAAAGCCTTCTCGTGGCTTTATGTGGCGGGTGGAGTATTGGTCTTGGGCGGTTTGCTATTGAACAGTCTATGGAAAATGGAAGTGAAGAAAGCGAAAACGGTTTCTTCGCCATCGAATGCACTTCAAAGTCCAGTCCACAGCTCTGCAGACCGAGATATCGAGCACAATAATAGTTTCGAGCAAAAAGGCAGAAAGCCGAGTTTCGATCATGTCCATAGGCAATAGGAAAAGTATTGGCATGAAGTTGAAACACTAAATAAGTATAGAACAATGTACCATATCAGAATACTCGTATTCCATAGTCGGCGTTGCAATTTTCAAGAACAAGACAAAGCAACCGACAAGACAAATTCAATGCGCACTGGTTGTATTGATGAATTATTGAATCGGATGAGTATAGCCATGAATTGTACAACTATCCCCAGTGGAGGGAAAGCTGCGGAGATCAATGGCTGCAGAATGATCGCAAATGATAATTAGAAGCTGGTGTCATATGAACACGATACATCTACCATTGAAATAAAAGTAGCATGTACTGTACAGAGTCATGCATAAATAATTATGCTCGTATCCTATCCCGCTCTTCATTTACTCTGTCTTTTTCTTTTTCTTATCGTTTTCTCCCTTTTCCAATCGCGTCAATAGCGACAAGACAGACTTCTGAAGGCCAACTTCATCGAAAAAGCCTTCCTCATCAAAGAACTGGCCAACACTCCATTTTGCTTCTACCATTGGCTTTTTCTCTGGTTCCTCTTGGTACTCCAAAATGAGAGTGTAGAATTCTGAGAATCGAGGAAACTGAGTACGGACGCGGATCTTTTCCTTCTGAAGCAGACTGGGCTTCTTATCTCCACGCTTCTTGGTAGCCTCGCTGATGGGCTTGGTCAAAAGTATGGAATCCTTATCGATAAAGGTGGTGATCAACTGCATGATTCCACTCAAAAAGAAGTAGCAACAGCAACAGACGCCCAGGATGGGACGGGAATCCGGAAATGGAACAGGAGCAAATTGAGCCACCATGGCAAACAAACAGGCAGCCGTCATCAAAGAAAGCTTGATGTTGTCGAGTCTGTGATCTTCTTCCAAGCGTTCCATAATGGCAGCTGCGACAGTCTCATCTAGAATTTGCTTCATCTTGATCATATCACCAAGATCGACTTGCAGCAATTCGAGTTCGACGTCTTCCACGGATTCATCATCGTCGTCCTCTAGTTCGTCATTTTCAGAGGATGGAACAGCCGCGGCTTTTGGTTGTTGTTGCTGCTTCTTTTTTGCCATGGTTGGAAAGGATTTGCTTCAGTTTTAGTAAGTGGAGATATCAAAGAGAGTGATGAAGGTGGCTTCGTTGTCTCACTTGCTACAGTGTTGATATACTCAGGCTTGTTGACAGCAGCAATGCACTGTTGATGGTGGTGATAGCTGAGATGATGCGTGGGACGACGGTCAAACGTGATGCACTGAAAATCAAAACGTGGAAGGAGGCTTTGTTCGCGAGGGAGGGGAGATAGAACGGGGGACACAAGAAGAGCAGGATCAGATTCTCCCTCCACATCCTCAATGTATCGTACCAGGTACATTCCGCGAATGGTACAAACTACAGCATAATAAAAAGAGGGAACAAAAGCACTCTAGTATATTCAAACAACATATCGCTATCACATCCCAAACAGAGCTGCCAAGCAAACCCGAAGCAAGCTCTGGAAGTATTGCCGAAAGTTGTCTCACCTTGGTTTCCCGGTAGCTCGGTAGCTCAAGCATGCTAGGTACTGCATTGAGGACACTTGAAAAGGTTCTGGTAGGTATCGTACGAGTATGATGCGATTGGCTGTTCGAAAGGTCTATTTAGAAATTTAAAGGTGCTTAAGCGAGAATTTGAACCGCGTTTTCATCGTGCCCAAAGCTCATTTGGCTCCTGTTCCAACCGAACCCCCATAATTGAAAACCATGTAACTTGACACAACGAGAACTTTTTACGACGCTATTAATATATGCGGGAGAGAGAACATACCTGCTTCAATACGGTACAAATTGTGTCAGCTTTTTTTTAAGTCATCAGTTTCACAATTCCTCATCATCATAGATCAAGAAAACCAACAAACAACCTATTTTCCACGAATCTGGATGGCAATGGCAACAAAACCTGCGTTATATGGTCTCACCTGTAGTGTGAGAGCTTGCTTGGTCCTGTTGATTTCGGTTCTCCTCGTCAGTCCCTTCGACTACAAAACAGATCATGGATTTGTGCTGTTGGGAGTTCAAGCCTTTGCAATGAAAACGATATCTGTTACCCGTGGTATCATTGAGCCAGATAACTTCTTCACAGGGGAGGATCTCTTGCTTCAACAGAGTAAAGAGCTCCCAGGATGCGAGTACGATGGAGGGCAAATTCTGTTGAGTCATCCCTCGTCACTGGCTCCCGAAAATCGACAGTATGGTACCGCAAACCTGATGTTAGAAGCAGCTGGAATCACAATCGATCGAATCAACAACGAAAGATGCGGTGTTAAAGTAGATGGGAAAAGCTATGCTTTGCGGCTGAAAACTTACTCTGACGATTCGGACAAGAACAAGACGGCGGCTGTGACTCGAGCAATCGTCAATGAAAGTGATTTCATGTTGGCGGGGTACACTTCGGGACTAGCTGCCTTTCAGACGCCTGTGGCAGAAGACAACAAGAAACTCGTCATCACCGCCGGATCATCTAGTACTAGTGTTCATTCTGGCAAAAAGTATGCGTTTGGAATGCTACCCCCTGCTAGCGCCTACTTCGGCAACGCTTACCGAGCTATGGCTCAGTTGGGAGCCAGAACCATCGGTTTTCTTTATGATGACGATTTTACCTCATGCAAACCAGAATTCGCCGAAGCATATGGATTTGAAGTAATCTACACTTTTGCAATTGGAGAAAACAAATCCTACGATGTTTTTGATGAAGCAGCATACAACGTTTCTCGGCTCAACCCTGACTCGATGGTGACTTGCTCACGCCTTACTCCTGAACATTGGGTCAACGCGATGAGAAAACACAACTGGAATCCTAAAGCACAAGTGACTTTTGGAAACGTTCCGCTGGAGGAGGCAGTAGGGACAGATGCCCAGCACATGATGACAGTTTCCTCGTGGGTCGACACATTGCCGCACATACCTGATGCTGTCACTGGTTGGACGCCAAAAGAGTTTGCAATTGAATTTGAGACGGCAGCTCACAGGCCTCCCGACTACCGTCAAGTGGCACAGAGTGCAGCAATCAGTGTTTTGGTCCAAGCCATTGAATCCGCTGGATCCATCCATGATGCCGATAAAGTGGTGGAGCACTTGCAGAATAAAACATTCGATACTGTCTATGCCAAGGTATCCTTTGACGAAAACGGACAAAATGATGCAACCGGACTGCTTCTACAGTATGATATAGACAACGTTGCACAGGTGGCCTTGCCAGAGTCGCTAAACCGTGATTTTGAGATTGTTTATCCTATGCCTTCCTGGAAGAAACGCGATTGTACACTACTTTCAGACTGTCTCCGAAACAATGGGGATTGCATGGATGACGGTACTTGTTCATGCCCCTCTGGTCTCATTCAATTTGGAAACGGCGAGACCGCATCGTGCAAAGAACTTCCATCAGAAGATATGACTTACATTGGATCCAAGTTCTTGTATGTTGGGTACAGCTATGTGGTTGTTCAGTGTATCACATCAGCGATATTTGGCGCATGGGCCATTTGGAATCGAAACAGCGAGGCAGTACGGGCCAGTCAACCCATGTTCTTGCATCTAATCAGCTTTGGATGTTTCATTCTTGCATTATCAATCATTCCGATGACCTTTCAGGGCGGCTACCGATACTACCGAGATCCAGACACTTTGGAGCCCACACACATATTCAACGACAATATCCACAATGTAGACAAGTGTAAGTCGATTCACAATACTATTCTACATGAATTCATATCACATTGCTCAAATACCAGTCTATTTCAGCTTGCATGGCTTTCCCCTGGATGTTTGGTATCGGTTTTGGAATTGTCTTCTCTGCTCTCTTTGCAAAGATTCATCGCATTCGAGAGATCTTGGCATCAGCAATCGAGTTTCGACGCAAACGTGTCCAAGCTCGAGATGTCCTTTATCTCATTGCTGTGGTCCTTTCAATTGAATGTACCATTCTATTGGTGTGGCAGTTCGTGGACCCACTTCTTTGGGAGCGCGATATCATTCGTGTGACCGAAGACGCCTTCCCTCTGCAATCCGTTGGTCAGTGCACGTCAGAGCAAGGATTCATTTTTTGGCTCTTCTTCATATCCTTCAATGTCTGTCTTCTGCTCTACGCACTTGTCTTGTGCTACAAGACGTGGAACTACCCTTCTGCCTTCGCCGAAAGCCGTTGGATTACAGCTTGTGTCATATCCTATATTCAGATTCTGCTGCTCGCAGTTCCGATACTTGTTATCGTGAAGGATGACAATAACATATACTTCTTTGTTCTGACGTCGATCGTCTTTTTGATGTCAATGTCGGTTACACTGTTCATTTACCTCCCCAAGGTGGTCTCGTTCTACTCTGCATCTGCAGAAGGAAACCTTGGGCAAATCAGCCTTCAATTTGCAAGAGGGACACATAGAAGCAGCTCGAACGATGGTCCATCAGTGCTGATATCTGGTTTGGGTCCTTCTATGGACAATTTCGAGAGTTCCTCAATGAGATTCAACCAAGTGGTGCCTTTGCGGACGAACGACATGGTGGAGAGGGTTACGTCTGCATTCGAAGAGCCATCGGAGGAACACACAAAAACAAAATCACAATCTTCCTCACAACCGTATCAAGTGAGCGAATCAATCGTCGAAGAGAATCAACAAGACCTTGAATCGGGCAAAGTGACAAGTTCGTCCACTGCCGATGAGACGGACGTTGAGAAAGGGCATTGAAACGCATGATATCTATTCATTGTACAGTATTCTTACCTATATCGTTATCAATAAAACATAAATACAAAAATAAAGGCTTGTGCAACACAAGCCTTTCCAAAACCGAGTTATGCTATCCTTGGCACTTGATCCTGCTCCAAGGACAGTTTAGACGACGAGTCATCGTTTCCTTCGTCCTCGACGGCATCACCATTCGAGACCACTTGCACTTCTCCAGATGGCAGCATTCTCATAGGTCGGCTTGATTTACTTTGCAGATTCAATGCGACATCTATTTGCGATAAAATCTCACTCATCTTGTCCATAGACGATTCCAATCGGTCAATCTTCTCGTGAAGACTTTTGTTTTGTTCCATTAGTTGGCGATTGTCATCTGCCTGCTCCTTGATCCTACTATCAAGCTCCGCCATTTTCGTCGTAACCGCTGTATGGACTCTCCTCGTCTCATAGATCTCAGGCTTCATGAGATACTTTACTTCTTGGAATTTTATGCCAAAGATGTCTCGCTTTATTTTGTCCGGCCAGCATAGTCCGAAGGTGAACAATCCTAGAACGAAGTAGACAACATATTGGAAGAAGTATCCAGTATAAAGTAATACCCGCTTGTACCGGACAGTGTGGAAAGGGTCCGCAATTTGTTCCTGTCTGATACTCCTCGACTTGTCAAAGCGCTCGCTTACAATGTTCGTAGCCTTTGACGTTTTTCCCTTCTTCTTTTTGCCGGGATTCTTAGTAAGGGTGACATCCTGAACGAAAGCCAAACGATACTCCCAAAAGAGCTGTTGGGTCATTTCCTGTTCTGTAGATCTGCCCCAGGCAATACTCACAATGGCAATCACTACGTTCAAGAGAATGATGCTTGTGATAAGTCCAAACAGAGCGTCCACCATAGTTTCTGTAGACTCGGGAGCGTCCAAGAACATCAGGAGGACAGATTGAAAGGATGTCCAGAGATCATTATACGGTAGCTCCCCCAGCGCCTCAGGATTGTTGAAGTTTTGGACGTAGTACATGAAGGCAAAAGCTAGTAATACGAGCCCGGTGCATACGATGAATGGGACCAAGGTCCCAAAAACCTATGGAGTAGATTCGAAGCGAGGCATATGAGAGACCTTGACCTTACAAGAAGGATGGAAACAATATTATGATGCGACTCTTACCTTTGCTAGTCCCCCAACAAATGTCGCAAAGGGAAGGAAGACCTTTCTTAGAAACGAAACAAAGTGTGCAACTGTTGATGGTAGCGACAGCAGTTGTCAGAGCGAACAGAATGCGGGCAATATAGCGCATTATGCATGTTGTCTCCAAATTCTTACCTTGGCAGGATCCAGTTATCATGAGAAGTCGTCGAGTAAAGTAATCGTTGGGATTGTTGTTGGGATCAGATATCTGCAACATGACAGCAGACATTGTTACCAGAAGGATTGTAGAGCAATCTAGCCAGTTCCAAGGGTCCTTGAGATAATCTGTAAAGATGTTCGCTTTCACATATCTCCGAATCTGACGAATCTCTCGAACGAGAAAGACAAGAGCAATCCCGTACAGTGCATAGACCACATAGTGAACCGTGTGGCCCTGCAAGTACGTGTGAGAAGCATAAAATATCAATATGATCCCTGCCAATTGACAATAAAAGTCTCTCATAATGTAAAGGATCACATTCGGTTGACAGAAAGCCCACGTAAGCCATTCGATACAGGTATTCGACCTCAAGTTGCTGCAAACAATCGTCTGAAATTTCTTGGCAGGGCACGCATTACACATGGCATCCATGGCCAAGAAGATTTCCTCTTCTTCGGAGGTTGCGTCGTTGATCAAGTGCTCAAACATCTTTTCCGCAAAACTATCGAAGATTGGATTGTCATCCAGCCGAAGCGAAGAACCAAGATGACCTTTCTTCTCTCCAGTCGGTTCTCCTTTTCCGATAAGATCCAAAGGCAAGTGACCCGCTCCATCGCGAAAATTAAGGTAGCTTCTTTTATCCGAATCCTTCATGACCATTTTGACAACCTCAAACGGAGCAATGGCTCGACAGGCAGCATGAATCGGCAGACTGCCATCATGACTGGCATGACTTAAAGTGAGTGTGTCGTTGTCATCTCCTTTGAGCCATTTTATTGTCGCTGGCGATGCCTTCCGTCGACAGGCGTGATGAAGAAGCAGCATTCCTTTGACATCTTGTAACAGCACCAGTTGTCTCCAAACGTTCTCGGAGAATTGTCTCTTATTAATCTCTTCGCGTTGCATAATATTGTCGTTGAATACCTGCATCCAATTTTTCTTCATTTCCTCGTCACTATCTTCAAATTTAGTGATCTCGGTGAAGCTCGCAATTACTGCTCTTGATTGACGTAAGCCCTCTTTCATTTCGTTGGTGGTAAAGGTGATGCGGGTCTTTCGACGATTTGACATGGGTGATTTCTTGATTTCCACGACAATTTCAGAATTGGAGGAAACCGAAGCATCTTCATCAAAATCGGCACTATCCACTTCCCATGTTGTTGGTAACGAACTTGGGTCTATCATCGTTCAGCGTTCATGTACGTAACTTGTTGTTGTTGAAAGAAAAAAGGAACGATGAAGATCTCCGGAACGAGCTCAACTTTCATGAACGATGCATCCTCACTTTTTTACGGAAGAAACTCCCAAAATACCAGTGAGATTTGATGGCAGAAAATCCACGCCTTAAATAACCGTCACGTAGGCCTGCATTTCGAGCGGGCCTTTGCACGCAATCCTGCGCTTTTTTATTCTCGTAAAAAGATTTCGAGAGAGGATGCCAACATACCGTACACCGGTGGTTTCCGAAGAGCTTCGAAGTGGTCGAATGATAAAACCCCAGTTCTCCATGCTTCCATAACATACATTCAACGCCTTACAGTACTGTACCTTTTACCATTGATTGTTGAATCAATCATACAACCTAAGCATACAAGTGTAGTAGTAAAACCAGATGGTAGCAATGAGATGACAAAGTTTAGGCGTCAGAAACGAAATGGAGTTGGCATTCCAGCTTTGGTGGCACTGCCATGGTTTCTGATCTTGTTGGCGATGAGTTGTTGCTTGATTGCCTTTCAATACATCCCATCATCATCCATGGAAGTACTACGTTCGAAGAATAACGAGTCGTCTCCTAATACTTCCATTACTACCAAAGAAAGAGCTTCCAATCCAAAGTGGGCGTATGTATTTTTATTGGCCGATGTGAATCCCGAAGAACCGTCATATCAAGGAATACTCTACAACATTTTCGTCTCTACCTATGTCCTGAAGCATGATCCGACTGCCCAGTCGTATTCCAAAGCTGACATTGTGGTCATGGTACAAATGTCATCTGCTTCGAAAGAGTCCAAGTTACGCGAAGAATCGTTCCTTCAACGAATGGGCATTAAGATTCTGTATCTGGAACCGCCAACGGCAACGACGACGATTTCGACCAAACAAGAAGACACTACTACTACCTTTTACTCGCTCGTCTTGGCCAAGTTTCACGTTCTCAAATTGACGACATACACCAAAGTACTGTTTCTGGATGGTGACGTCTTGACGTTGTGCAATCTAGACTATCTCCTGGCATTGTCTGAAGAAGGCCAAGTTCTCAAGGAAACAGTGTTACATGCCATGTACGAAGACCCTGTCAATGCAGGCCTATTCATTGTCACACCCAAGCAAGAGTATTATGACGAAGTGCAAGATATTATTCAGCGGCATGGCATTCCTTCCAAGCAGGAGAATAATAGCAATTGGGATCCAAAAGTTGGGTGGGGTGACAAAAGTGTAGACTACCGCCTGTGGGACATGACTCCAGGAAAAGGGTGGAGCTTTTACTGTGCAGACGCCGACCAAGGCCTCCTCTTGTATTGGGCCCGCTTTGTACGAAAACAAGTCTCCATTATTGTGGGTCCAGTCATTGAAGAGTATTCGCCTTCCAACTACGATGGAGCGCCGGAACAAGTGACCAGCAGCGGTGCCCTGTTGGAACACTCGTGTGTAGAACGTGATTTGCAAAAGCATGGCCGAACGGGTACATTTGCTGCCAATGCGGGACCAATGGCAGCATCGTTGCCATTCTATCAAGACTTTTTCCACATGGTCGGTTATTCCAAAGCTTGGGAGCTTCCGCCGGTACGTCCAGTCCCAAACTCGAGAGATGAGGTGGAATCTTCCTCCGAGTATTGGTATTTCTTGTTGCAAAAAGTAAAGGATCGATTTGATTCCGAAAAGATAATTCCACCAATTGAGGAAATCACCAAGTCGATCCCACAACCAAGAATCAGAGGTGACTTGATCTCGGTAGCAGATGGACCCGATGGAGACCTGGTGCCAGTGGTCGTTTGATGATTGCATTCTATATTTCTCACGGCCACGGTGCAAAGCAACGAAGACTATCCGAGGTAGCAAGCTAACGAATACCCTACAAGATGGATGCAGAACACACTATTTTCATGAGCAACTTCAATGGCTGGAATCCTCAACAATATCATTTATTCCCTAGAAGATCTGGGATTAGTTTGGATGATCGTACGATGGCCAAGCTATCTAGTACTCCAGTCGTCTCCAGAACCAGTCTTGAGTTTACTGTCTCTCTATGTAAAGCAGAACACATGCCACAGTTGACACCAATCAAGGTAGGGACTTTGTTGGTGCCGTCGCCCAATTCAGAACAGACTTCATATATGCACATACGACGACGACTATTTTGGATTGAAACGAATATCCTATTCTTGTACAATATAACATTGAATGATAGAAGATAGAACTGGTTGTTACCAGAAGAAAGCTGTCTACTGTATTGTTCAGTTTATATACAGTACAGTATCCTCTACGGCAAAATGGCCCAAACATTGTCACGAGTAATGCCACAATATATCGCTCTTCCGAGTAGTGGTACAATAATGGCAGCCCAAGCCAGCGTCAATCCAATCTGTTTGGGATTCAAGGTGAGGTAGTCCACATTGTATCCATTGACGCGATTGTCTGCAAGCAATCAAGCAAGCGATCAATCAATCAATCAATCAATCAATAGTATAACAATAAGAATAAAAGGACGACGAAATCTTGTGAGCAGGCGCTGGTGATCATGTATCAACAAAATAAACAAAGGCACGTACAGGCCCAATCATTTGGATTTTGCAGATAGGCATCCATTTCCGCTTGTGCCGTATTTCGATCCACCTTGTCTCCAGCCATGAACTTGAGCACCCCTTATAAAGGAAGAAGCAAAACAGAACAAGACGACGACGAGGTTTTTGTGTGTGAGCCAAAGTAAGTTCCAGAAATTCAATTCAATTCAATTCATTCATTCATTCAGTCATTAATTTGCTTACCTTGTTCGTATTCATCCGCTTGAAACAATCGTTGAATAAACGGATTGGGTCCTTGTCTCAGTAAACTTCCCCAGATGTCATATCCTGCCGATGCCTCCTCTTCGGGTGAGGTGGGAGACCATTTTCGTGTTTGTGGATCAAATTTTGGGACCATTTGTGTCCGGGTAATGGCTGATCGACGACTATTTTGAGGAGGAACAAAGCATGTTGCCAGTGCAGGCAACAAGAGAAGTACAATTGTCAAGAACCTATTGAGCATGGTACGTGTGCTATAAAAATAAAGCCAACAATATTGTTGAATTGAGATGATGATTCATGATACGGTAGATCAGAGATCGGAAGAATCCAGAAAAACTACTACAGATCCTGGTGACGTTCGCACCCTCTCGCAGGAAAAGTCGCAAAAAAGCGTAGTCGTGAAATTAGTCTTGAACTTGCGGAGGTATTTCAAGGAGAGGCCTTTGGAACAACCTCTTCTGCTCCTCGTGTCAGGATACTTCCTACCTGTACAATACAATTGAAATAGCGGTAGTTACAGTAGAGTAAAATATTGCAGGATTACTTTGTAGAGGGAGCTAGAAGAATATAAAGTAGTGCATGTATAAAATATATACTTTATCTTTCTATCAAGGACTTAGGAGTATGAAACGTGACATAAATGGCATCGTAGTTTCATAGTCGTAGGAGCAACTACACCCTTCCACGATTGAGGTGTAGTGAGCATTCAGTAACGCTTGCTTTTTGTGAGTGTGAGTGTGAGTGAGGGAGTGAGTGAGTGAGTGAGAGATTAGGCCATGCGAGATACCCGTGCAGGTCGGGTACGGATGGATATTCTTGGAGATGCCCCCGAGGTACGCCTGGTAGTAGGCGTCGGAGAGCCAATCGAAGAACGTTTTCGGGCAATCCCACCCAAGTTGGGGGACGCGGAGGAACGAGTTCTGGCAACCCCCCTCAAGTTCGGCCTTGACCCTTGCCTTGATCCTAGTCCCAAGCTTGCACGCTTTGCTTGTTTGGGAGAAGATAGATTAGTATTTGTGAGATTTCCTTCGGCAGCAGTAGCAGCAGTTCCGTGCTCCCATTTGGCGGCTTCCGCATCGGCAGCCGCCATCATCTGCGCAAACTGGCGAGATCGCTGGGAGAGTCCATTACTAATGGTTTGCAGCATTTGCCAGCGAACATCAGGTTCCACGCCTTTTAAATTCATGTCTGTTTGAGCGCGTAGTAGACTGCTCATATACCGGTGTTGGTCCTTCTTTCTCATGTCACCATGAGCCGAATTGGCCCATCGCTCCAGTCCTCTTCGTTGGGGTCCATGCAATGCCCACAGATTCAGACTTGTTTGGGCATCTTGATCAAATGTCTTGACATAAGAGTTATCGAGATGTTTCGATTTACCGTACCGTTCGGATTCCTTGGCAACTACGCGAGCAGAAGACTTGCTAAAGTCGTAATCGCTGCGAGAAAACCACAGTCTCTTCTTGTCTTCAGAAGTCAAAGATAGAACATCCTCAATTTCACAAAGCACAGTGGTAAGTGCTTCTTTCTCTTGTGGAAAGTGCACACGGGGCCGCGAGTTTGAACAGTTTGAACAGTTTGAGCAGCTCTCGCCTTCCCCCATTGTGTGTAATTTAATTCAGGCTACCTAGAAAGCTAAGATAAGCTAACCAGAACAACAGATGAGGCGTAGAGCCAGGTATTGTCAGTGATGATATAATGTTTGTTGCCTGTCGTTTCAAGTGGTCAACGGTCAGCAATTGTGTTGATCGATCGATCGTGGTGGGGATAATA